ACAAACCTGTCGCTTTCCCCTCCCTGCTGTCCCTCCGCACCGTGTCGGCGCCGGCCGCCGCTGTCCCCACTCCGGGGTGGAGGTGGGGGCGAGGCCAGCCCCGGCGCCGCCGGCCCCCGCACTAGCTCGGCGCTCTTCCCACCCGGGTGAACCCCGAGCCCACAGCCCCAGGCAGGAGAGCTCTGCTAGGGGAGAGGAGGTGAGAAACGGGCTCTACTCTGGCTACAGTTGAGGGCGGGCACCCGCCCGTACCTCCACCTGCCCCGGCACCCGCTGCGGGCGCAGCCAGCCTCCCGCTCGGGCTGCCGCCCGCCCTGCCATTTATTTCTGAATAAATTTTTCATTCTTGGCGAGAGCGTCGTCGTTAACTCGGACAGGGCATTCAAACTCTCTCTGTCTCTGAAGCAAGAGACGCTCTTATACGAGTGCAGGCATGCTTGCCAGAGCCCCGTGCGCACCAAGGAGGGAGGAATACATTATAGTGAAAACCTCTCTTTACGTTTTCCTTAGAAACTTTTTCTCCCATGGAGTAGAGCATGGAAAACACTAAACAACCTCCCTCTCCCTCCAAACGCTTTCCCAGGCCCAAAGCAAACTGAAGGGATGAAAGGCTGATCTGTAGATAACAACATAAACATTTGTGTTGCTGCTTAAAACCTGCTAGGAAAGAACACTGCTGTGGTGCCCTAAAGTGCCTGAACAAGTCAATCTATTGCATACTCAGTTCGTCTTTCAAGTAGCTAAAAATTAACTACCATCTTAAAATGTCATTAATCATCGGTGCAGCAGAAACTTGGTTGGAAATTGGAACTGAGCTAATAACAGGCAGAGGGGAACCTTTAGTTTTATAGCTGGTGAGAGTGAAGTGCAAGTGGGCCACAATGTGCTTTTTAAAATGATATCAACATTCATTTTAACATTTTGGCAGACGTTTAGAGGGGAGGACTGTGATACTGCTTGGTCAGCAGAGCTGCAGTACTTCTGTCTAGAGATCTAGAGAGGCAGGTCAGGTGTTGCAGGGAGCTAATGCTCTCCTCGCTCCAGATTGCAACAGCAGGAGGACCGTGGTGGCATGCAAGTCTGGGGTGCTTGCAAGAGTTTGTCGAAAATGCCCAGGAAACAAAGCTTTAGGGATCATATGTTATATACATACTAAGTATACATCGATTGTTTTTAGGAGATTTAAGAGAGGAAATAGAAATAACAGCAGGTTAAGTGATATAAGGCAAGCGATGGAAAATGATATCCTCAGTTCTTATAGCTATGACTTGAAAATCAAAGTCATTTCTTTTTAAAGTACTGTGGTAAAACTATATAACCCAGCAGGTGGCAGCTAGCTAAAACAGAATTAGATTTTATTAGGGTAACAGGACATCAAGATATGGTCTGAAGGGGAAAAAAAAAAAAAAAAAAAAAAAGGTGTTTGATATAACAGTGTAGTCAGAATCGCAAAACTCCCCTTTCCAAATGTAACAGTATGTGTGTGTAAGATCACCTTTTGCACTTGACATACACCTAAAGAATTTAGCGGGCTTTTATTACCCGGAGAGATTTAATGGCCTTAGATGGTCTATTTTCCTTTCCCTTTCTTTTTTTTGTTTTTTTTTTTTTTTTTTTTTGAAAGCCAGCTTCACTTGAAGCTTGTCTATGAGTATTAAAGATGTGTTACTACCATGTCCACTGTAGACGTCCAAGCTGTAAAATAAATCAAAACATAGAAACAAGGATTTGTAGATCTCTTAGTTGCTGCTGTTAGTCACTGAAGTGTGTAGAGCAGTTTCATAAAGACTGCAATTGGAAAAGGACTGGTGGCAAGACCCTTCCGCCCCCTCCCCCAAAGGCAACCTCAGATTCTCCAGGGAAATGTTTCATCTGACATCTCCAGCCTTTGAACTGTATACGTGGAAGGAGATATGAAAGGACCTAAAAACGTTTTCCTGCCTGCACATTGAAATTATTCTGGAGGGTGGACAAAAATATTTTTTAAAGTTTCCCTCTCCCCCCTCAGAAGAAGAAATGAAGCTGAAATCTAATTTACAGAAAAGGACTCTGGGGTGGTAAAATGTGAGGCTTTAGTTAATCGTGTATTTTATAAATGGTCTTCAGCCAACAAACATTTGGTGAGTTCTAAGCAGTGCAAGATTTACCTTTAGATAAGCAGCTGCTATTTTTGAGGACATGAATATGAAATAACTACGACTGCCTTTCAAGGTGGGAGCTGGGATTTGATAGAAGGGTGGAGGAATGTTGCCAGAGAGCACTGGGTGAATGCGTGATAGCAGATACTAACAGCGGAACTCCTTTGGAGCCCACAAAACGCCACTAGGCAGCAGAGCGGTTCCCAGAGCCGAGAGCGGAATGTGTGCCTTTAAAAGGGCCGATAAAATATTTTAATTTCCTCCGTGTGTTGTGAAATCATTGGAGGAAGAAGAAGGGGGGAGAAAGAAAGAAAAGGAAAAGAGGAAAAAAAAAAAAAAAAAGGCATTTTTTGACACCTGGAGTGACAGACGCAGCGTTTGAGCAGGCGGGCGGCGCTGTCCGCGGTGCTGAACGGCGGAGCGGGCAGCGGGCGCTGTCCCCGGCGGCCACCCGCGCACGCCGGCACCGCGGGGAACCGGAACGGAGACACCCCAGGTTTTCCTCCCGCACGAGCCTGCGGGATTTCACTGAGGGCTTTTACTAATAAAAGGAATTAATAGTGAGGAGTCTTATAATCTCGCTTGCTTGTGTAAGAGCCGCAGGGAGTTAGGCTCTCTGTAGGCTTGGTTACAGACAATTGCACGTTTTTCAAGAGAACACAGGAAATTAGACGGATTAAAAGAGTCATTCCCTACTCCCCTCCTC